TTGTACATTATAAAAAAAGAAAACACCCAATTTATTGTGTATCACATCAATATTCAAAATTAAAATTTTTAATATTAAAAATTCTAATCCAAAATCCAAACAAATATTTAAAAAAATAAATAAATAAAAGTAGTCATATATACACAAATGTGTACATTTTATTAAAAATATATATATATATATAATATTATATTAACACTTATTTATATTACATCATGTAGCATTATTCAAAACTCAAATTGAAAATTCAAACAAATATTTTTAAAAATAAAATAGAGTGGGATTTGAACCCACGCCCTTTCGGACCAGAACCTTAATCTGGCGCCTTAGACCAACTCAGCAATCTCAACTCATTTGAATATTTAATGTTTTATTTATATATATTGACAAATATTGTATTTGGTTACTAAATATAAAGAATATTGATTAAAAGTATGAAGATCTCTACGATAGGTGTTTAGGGTGTGGGGAAATATTCATATTCTCTTATTTTTGTTGAGAGGTATTTGGCAAACAGTTATTTCAAAAAATTTTAGTTTATTGAAAAATTTTTAGTTATTTGATCAGTAAATTAGTTAATTTTAGTATTTGGTAAATTAGTGCTTTCAATTAGCTTATTAGTTCAAAAAGTTATTTTTGAAAAAATTGTATATCACAATATTTCACATTAGTTTTTTTATTTTAATTTTTCTTTATTACACAATTTATTAATTATTTGAATATATTTTCTTCTAATAACTTATAAATTCATATTTATAAATTTAAAATAATTATTTTTTTATATGTCAGTTATTTTATTTATAATTTTTTTATTTTTTAGAATAAAGATAATATAAAAATATTAATATTATCGACTCATTTATATAGTATTTTTTATCACATACTCGCTCAATCTTAAATATTTTGGGCTTCTTACTGTAGATACGGAAATTTAGGTAAAGTATAATTAATAGGTAATTATAAAGTGTATTAGTAAAAATAATTAATATTTAGTAAATATAATTATAAATTAAGATTAAGATAAGTAAATAGTTTAATTAAAATTTTAAAAGTTATAAAATTTAAAATTTAAAATTTAAAATACGATTAAAGTGCATAATTATATTTTCAAAAATAGAAAGGACAAGTTATGTGAGACGGACGAAAATAGAAAATATGAAAAAATTATGTGAGACGGAGGAAGTATTATTTTTATTAAAAATGAATATATTTATTTAAAATTATAAATTTAATGTAAATATATACTAACTAAAAATTAATATAATAAAAATACATATACTAATGATTTTTGTTCTTTTATATATAATGAAAGAAATATATATTTTTCAATAAGTTTGCATTAATTTTTTACAAAATATTTTAAAAATAATAAAAATAAATATTTTAATAAAAATTTTCTAATTTTTGAAATTAATAATAAAATTCTAAAAAAGTCTATCAAGCAAAAAAAACTCAACTAAATATTTTTAAAATAAAATATAAAATATCCTTAATGGTCATTTTACGTATAAACAGTATCAAAGAACTATTTTACTAAACACTTTAATACAAACAACTAATCGAATAAGTTAGTCAAATCAGCTAATTGAATCAGCTAACAACTAACAACTAATCGAATAAACTAACAGCTATCAGCTAATTGTCAAACACACTCATAATTTAGAATTGAGAAATAAACTATTATTTATTCTTTAATTTCATTTCTCTTTTGTGTGCAAAGAAATGAAAAGAACTAAAATTGATGGTACAATGTATGTTTATTTATTTTATTTTTTTACGATTTAATTTATTTTTATTTTTTCCTACTATTTAATTTTTTATATTATTCAAATCTCATAAAATATCATATCTAAATTATTGTTAAAATATATTATCAAATTAAAAACATAACTAAGAAATACAACAATATTTTTCTTATTCAATTTATCATTTTTTCGTGATCAATTTTTATTTTTTTTCAACTAGCAATATAGCATATTTTCTTATTTGATTTTTTTTATATACATATATTTCTTAAATGAATGATGTGTTTTATTAATCAAAAGAATCAATTTATATTTTCTATTAAATTCTTTTTCTCTATAATTATATTTTTTTACTATCATTTTTTGTGTAATTTTATTATATGTACCAAGTGCACCACAGAGTATTGAATTTGCACCCTATTAACTCAAATGTACTTCAAGGTGTCTAATCCACAGAGTATTGAATTTGCACCTTATTAACTCAAATGTACTTCAAGGTGTCTAATGGTATATTATAATATGCAGGACTATTTTTAATAGGATCTGAACAAAAAAATAAAAAATAAAATAAAAAAATTAGAAAAACTTTTATATAATATTTGTATAGATAAGTATAAAATAATAAGCTTTAAAATTATTTTTTTATTATTTTTTTAACTTTTAAAATATTATGGTACTAATTTAATATTATACATGTATTTATAATATTGTTATAATTTTGAACAGTGGGTCAGAGCCAAGACTTCTCACGCCCAAAGCTAGACTTGATAATATGATCTAGAATCACATGAGTATAAGAACTTTGTTTGGGCTTTTAATATAAGTCCTATTTTTTAACAAAACTATATTAAGTGTACTATAGTAGCCGTTCATAGGTAGAATTTGATTCTATTTCTTTATCTTTGAACTAATATGGTTTTATGATCAATTCAAAACAAACTTGTGCTAAAATAGGTTTGTGTTAGATGAGATAGATGAGACTTGGAATCTTATATTATATTATATATGGATGTTTATAGGAATGAGCAAAATATCTCAAATCCAAACCAAATCATATTTTTAATGTTCATATTTTTTGGAATTTTGAATTGGATTGATTGAAAAGTTTAAACACTTTGAATTTTGGATCGATTTAAATTGGTACTAGAAATTCAAATTAATCCTAATTTAAAATGTATTAAAATATTAACAGATTGTGTTATTATATGAATTTGAAAAAATTATATAATACCCTCGTGTGATTTGGGAAAATTGGACAAAACTCTCATAGTTTTAAAACTATATGTTGTGCCCACATGTTGTTTGTATAAAATTCACACTTACCCCTATTTACTTACCTTTACTAATGTGAATTTTTGTCACATTGTAACCATTATGCCTTTGGATAATTATATAAGTCGCTTAAATTTTGTGAAAATGCCTCATTCACTCTGGCTGACACGATTACCATCCTACCTTCTGACAAAATCGTCTCCCTAATACCTCATCTTCCAACTATCATGCATTCTCCGAAGCACTGCATTGTGTCATTGGGTAATTTTTTGTGCTACATTGAATCGATTCATCGAGTTAAGGTTTGCAAAAATGAGCATTCTTCAACAAATCTTTTGAGTATTTATTTTGTCTTTATCCTATTTTGACTCCTAGTTACATGCACACTTGTACAATTCCAATCGATGATTAGTTGTTGCATTTGAGTGGGTTTTATTTAAATTTTATTTTTTTCATATCTAATATGCAACACAAAATCCTTGGGAACCCATATGGTAGATTTGGTACTACCAAAGTGTTGCATGATTTTAAAGAATTTTTTGTTGTAATAGATGTGTATGTGTACTCAAATTTTACTGTGAAAGGGATTAAATATTTTTCTTTCATGTGTACGCTTTTTGTTATCCAACATATTTGTAGTTCCCCATAAAGGAATATATATATATATGTGGGCTGATGGTTAGATCGAGTGGGAGGGGTCTACAACACATTATTGGAGTAGCAAGTTGTGTTGTTTCCAAACATTGACAAGGATAGGGTGTATTTCGATTTCTTCCTTGATATGTACGGTTGAGTTGGAGGTAGAACACCAATCATCAAGTTATGATATGGAGGGAGTGATGATCCTCCTAGTTCGTTATTGGAGAATTTTATTGTATATTGTATTAAAATGTTCAAGGAATACTATAAGAAAGATGTTATTTGTGTTTACGCCAAAGATAGGCCATAACAATGATAATTTGAAATGCACATGGCTGAGAAGTTCGGTGGATTAACCAAGTTTTGATGCTTGAGTGGGACGGGAAAATGAATGACTACAATCTATGTAATGATAACGTTGAACGGAAGGAGGATCCAATTATTGCCGAGTTGGACTCTAAGACTATGATTAGAGAATAGATCCATTAGGGATTACATAAATAAGAACATGACTAGGGGATTTGATGTGAAATATAATATATTAAGAATGAAAGAGAAGGGTATTGCTATATGTAATTCTGACGAAGATATATTGGATGCAAAAAACAAGTCAGATATACCAGAATGTGACATGAAAAGTTAATACTTTAAATAAAAGATGGTAAAGGCTAAACAAAAGGATGACTATGCATGTACGTCTAAAAGTTCTAATATGTAGTATATGTCAAAAAATATAATCAATTAAGAAGAGAAGTTCCCAATTCGAAATTGGACGAAAATACGATGGAAAGAAAAAAAAAATGAGAGAAAAATAGTTTTCTGCACTGATTTCATCTACACGGCAGTACAACTTATTTTAAAGGAAAATAGCTAAACTTAGTGACCTAAAAGGGAAAGACTTATTTTCAGGAATCAGTTATTTATTTTCCTATATTATTTCCTAAATACAAGAGAGTAATGATTGACCAAATTAGAGTAAGTTTCACTAATTTGCAACATTCCCCCTTAATGGAAACTTACGATCAATGACACCAAGAGCTTCACGAAAGACTTCAAATTTATCCTTGGCAAGTGTTTTGGTGACAGTGTCAGCAACTTGATCCTTGTTTCTTATTTTCTGAAGAAGAATATCCTGACTTAACACCTTATCTCAAACAAAATGGAAATGAGTTTCAATGTGTTTAGTGCAAGCATGAAAAATGGGATTTTCAACAAGCTTGATTGCTTTCTCATTGTCACAATAGATAAAAAATTGGGTAGTTAAGGGCATATATCAGTTCCCGAAAGAGTCTCTTCAGCCATGAGCATTCTTGAGTAGCCATTGTTGCTACAACATACTCTGTTTCACATCAATTCCTGAAAGAGTCTCTTCAGCCATAAGCATTCTTGAGTAGCCATTGTTGCTGCAACATACTCTGCTTCACAACTTGAGAGTGCAATGGTGGGTTGTTTATTACTACACCATGAGATTGCAGCTGAGCTTGTAGTAAAACAGTACCCTGTCATCGAGCGTCTATCACTTATATCACATGCCCAGTTTGCATCTGTGAAGCCACTCAAAAGAAAGGGTTCAGATTTCCTATACATCAATCCATAGTGTACCTTTGATGTAGCGAAATATTCTTTTAGCTGCAGCTAAGGGACTCTCACACGGTTCATCCATGAATTGAGAAATAACTCCGACAGAATAAGAAATATTTGGCCTTGTGACTGTTAAGTAGAATAAATTACCAACAATTTTTCGGAAAGCTGTTGCATCTTCTAGCAACTTTCCTCCATCTTCAGAAAGCTTTAAGCAAGATTCCATAGGAGTGGCCATAGATTTCGACTCATCCATATGAAACCATTGTAGAAGAGTTGAGGCATATCCTCTTTGTGAAACAAAGTATCCATCAGACCTTTCAATTTTCAGACCAAGAAATCAATTAGTTTCACCCAAAATTTTCATGTCAAAACTAACAGAAAGTGCATCCCGAAGACAATCAATTTCAGCATCATTATCTCCCGTGACAATCATATCTATACATATAACAGAACGATAATGCACATAACAATTATTTTCTTGATAAATAAACTTGGATCAGTATTAGCATACTAAAAACTACAGAATGTAAGATATTAAGCAATCTTACCAAACCCCAGGGGGCTTGCCTGAGACCATACAAAACCTTCTTGAGTTTACATACATGATTTGGGAACTCATTAGAAATAAAAACATGAGGTTGCTCCATAAATATTTCACAATCAAAGTCTCATAAAGGAATACATTTTTAACATCAAGTTGTCATAATTTCCAGCCTTTATTAGTAGCTAGAGAAATTATTGTGAGGACCGTAACCATTTTAGCCACGGGGCTGAATGTATCACCGTAGTCTTGGCCGTATTGCTACAAAAAACCACGAGCTACAAGGCGTGCTTTGAATCTGTCAACTTGACCATCAACCCTTCTCTTCACTTTATAGACCCACTTACAAGTAATTGGATGAACATCCTTCGGTTTTGGGACAAACTCCTATGTATCGTTTTTCCTCGTTGCTAAAATATTTTCATTCATTGCTTCTTCCCATTCTGGAAACCATTTTGCTTCATCATATGATTTTTGTTCTACTTCATACACATTATTCAGAAAAATACAAGAAACAACAGAAAACTGATTAATATGAACTTGATAATCAATTAAGTAATATGGTTATTTTCTTTGTCGAGTTGATCTTCTAGTAGTAGTCTCAGTAGCCTCTTCCAATGAAGAATTGTTTGGGGAATTATTCTGCTCATTTCCAGACTCAGAGACATCACGAAAAAGTGGGAGAAAAGTGAGATCTCCAATTCCTTTTCGTTCATTTGTTTTTGTCACATGTGATGATACTTCTTCAAAAACCATATCACAGGATACAATGACCTTCATGGTATGCAAATCAATATATCTCCACCATTTTCTTTAAGTATCATAACAAAAAAAAATAAAAATACAGCACCTAGCCTTTGCATCCATCGTAGTCCGGTTATGTTTTGGAATGTTGACAAAGCAGATAGATCCAAAAATTTGAAAATAACTCACATTGGGTTTCCGGTGACATGCTAGCTCAAAAGGTGAAAATTTAGCTCTTGGCCATGGGGTTATTCTGTTTACAACATGACATGCAGTTTGGATTGCAGCAGCCCACAAGTCTTGGGGAAGGCATTTTTCATGAAGCCAACACAGGCAAATAGATGTAAGGTGAGTCAACTTACGCTCAGCAACTCCATTTTGTTGTGGAGTATCTGGGCAAGTCATTTGATATTGAAGCATATATTATCCTCCATTTTCGGTACACAAACCCTTAACAGATAAACCAACTCCCTTTCCACATCATTTTTAAATTCGCCAAATTTTGAGAAAATCTCACTTTTTTGTTTTAGGAAATAAACTTAGATTAAACGAGAGAAATCATCAACAATCACCATGAAATAACGGAAACCAGCATAACTAGTTGTTCCTGTTGGTCCTTGAATGTCAGAATGTACCAATTCCAACATAGTAGATACTCGATTATCATAATTTGGAAATCGATGAGACTTTTCTTACTGGAAGCTTGCACAGACTTCATCATTATGTATATTGTTAAAAATGGGCATACGATTCAACAACCGCTACATTGAAATTTTGTGTAGGAGCTGAGAACCAACATGACCTATGCGAGCATTCCAAAGTGATAAAGTCGTTGTAAGACTCGTCCTTTTAACATATATTTCACTGGTTAAGAGTATATACAGAGTCTTTCTTTGTTCTATAGTAAGCAAAATACCAGCATCAATATTCTTTAAGTTTGAAAGAACTTGTACATTATCAGGGCCAAAAAAGACAAATCTCCCAAATGTTATTTGGGCAACAAAAGCCAAATTTTTCTTTAAACCTGGGACATGATACACATCTTCAAGAATAATATCACCACCATTTGTGTCATCTTCTTTCACAACAGGGTGCAAAGAATTATCAACTATCACAATGATCTTTTTGCCATGATGAGGACGAATAATAGATAATAAGGTGGAATTTTCCGTCGCGTGATGAGAACATCCAGCGTCCATAATCCATTCTTTACCATAATCAATAGTATGATCATCTATGAGTGTGTCGATCTGGTGCTCAATAGATGTCATACTAGTTGATTGATTCACAATTTCAATGGATAGACAAATTTTTCCAATTCGTCTCATTGTTGTCTTGAACGACATTTGCCTTAGTTTCATTTAATTTCACCCTGAAATTTTTTTTAATGTGACCTGGCTTTCCACATCGATCACACACCATTTTTACTTTACAGTTCTGCTTGTGTTGCTTGGCTTCCCACATCGATCACATATTACTTTTGAGTGACAATCTTGTTTAATATGCCCTAACTTTCACACTTATAACAATTTTTGGAATTCTCTTTAAACTTGTCTTGATTTCTTCCACCACCAGGTTTGTGATCCAAAAAATGATTCCTTTTTTCCATTCTTAAATATAAATAACATCATCCATCTTGGAATCAAGCTTGAGGGTATATGCCATTTGTTTTGCCAAAGCTTCTTGGTTTGCTAACAAATTTTCCAACTCAAAAATCGAGGGTTGAGTTGCCCAACCTTGTATGGAAGACACGAAAGGAAGAAAATCCTTTTGTAAACCCTGAATAAGATATCGGTGTTGTCGTCCATCACTCACCAAATCATCTAGATCCAACGCAAAGATTTCTGCACAAATATTTTTCACTTTCAAAAAGTATTCTCCAATTGAGAGATTACCTTGAGTTGTAGCAGCTAGTTCATTCTCCAAATATTGTAGCCTAGCGGTGTCTTTCTTTGTGAACAATTGTGCAAGAGTTACCCACACTTTCTTAGGTGTGGTCAAATCGTGAACATGATCAATGTAGTCCTTGCTAATTTATGTTATGAGGGAAAACAACACCTTCCCACATTTTTATTTTCCATATTCGCGGCAGATCTGCATTTTTTTAAGTGTCTGCGGGAATCTCCGTTTCCTCACCAGCGACCAACTCCCACAAATCTTGCCCCTATAAGTAGACTTCCATACACATCTTCCAATAATTGTAATTACTTCAAACTAGCTTCTCAATAGCAGTATTTGAAACAGGATTTCCACAATTCATCTTGTTGGAGAAATTTTGTCAAACACTTGATCTGCAAGTTTTGTGTCAACGAGGGTTAGAACAATCCGTTCACCAAACAAACCCTCAAGAATAAGTAATACTCAGAAACGTTGCTCTTATACCATGTCAAAAAATATAATCAAGCAATAAGAGAAATTCCCAATTCGAAATTTGAAGATAAAATAGGATGGAAAGGGAAAAAAAAAAAGACCGATAGAAAAATTGTTTTCTGCATTGATTTTATCCACATGGCAGTACAACTTATTTTGAAGGAAAAGAGCTAAACTTAGTGAACCTAAAATGGAAATACTTATTTTCAGGAATCGGTTATTTATTTTCCTAAATTATTTCCTAAATACAAGAGAGTAATGATTCGTCAAATTATAGTAAGTTTCACTAATTTGCAACATATGATGGGAAACATAAGAGATGATAAACTGGCTTTGGCTAATTTTCATAAAGGGAGGAACAAGTACATAGGGCAACTAAGAGACTGATTTTTCATTTGAAAAAGGTGACATGGAAGACTATCAAGGAATATGTACGTATCACAATTTATTTCAATATTCATTTCAAATACCATAAGATTGCTTTGACTAAAAACTATTTTGCATTTATAGATATTGAGGATAACACAAGTGCTACCGAGTGTTACTTTAAAAATAGATAATATGACCCTCAAAACATGGGAGACAATAGTGCACCTCAAAATAGTGAAAATTGGGCTGATGGTTGCGAGTGGGACAATTTCTTAATGAGGAAATGAATGATGACAATGTCTTTGATTAGGAAAATAAGGCTAATTCCGACCAATCAATGAATGTTGGTGACAATATCGACCCCTCAATGAAGAGTTCATAATGAAATAGACCAATTAAGGAAATATTGACGAAAAGAATGCCATAAGACATTGGGGATGTAATAACTTCTTGAGCATAAAATGTTGAAGGTTGACATGATAAAGGTTGTAATTACAAAGAGGGTGGTCTTCGGAGCCCCAATGGATTAGATAAAGACGGAAGCTCTACATTTGAGAATTAAAAATACTCGACATACCTTGGACAAATGGATCTAGAGGTGGGCCTAAAATTTATTAACCGAGAAATATCCAAGCAAGCACTTGGGTATTATGTTGTCAAAAAATTTTGGAATTTAATGTGAAAAATGAGAGAAATAAGGAAGTTAGGATGTATAAGGTGATCATGCAAAAAAATATGATATTGAGTTGATCAAAGAAATTACAAAAGAGTAGTAAAATTGAGTATATTACTCTTGTGCTACTACATACAAATACAAAAGTTCCAATTTGGAGGAGTTGAAGAACGGGGGCAGAGGGGTTGGTGGAGGCTATTATAGAGTGTGTGCCACGTAATGAACATTAGTTTTACGTTCACCATATGTCCAACAACTTTAAGGTACATTTCAAACGTTTGGAATTAAAAAACTATTTTGGAAAGTTGGTTTCACATATAACCTGAAGTAGCAAAAGAAAACAATGTGAGAAATTCAAAAGTGATTTACTATAGAGCATGTGAGAAGCTACTTATGTGTGGCTAAATGAGATTTCATAATATTATTGGGTATGGGTCTTCTTCCATATGGACAAAGAGTGATGTATGGTGAACAATATGTACAAAAAACTTAATCATTACATTATGAAAGAGAATGATTGTGCATTAATTGAGATATTTGAATGGATTCGGCAAAA